CCTAGATTAATGTTCACAGCCGTACTCGTTTAGTGATCGACCATTTCATATTATGAATTTTATCGAAAAATATATATTGTTCCCGAAAATTCTTGTGCAAATAATTATGCCACCCGATCCCGTTATCACCCGATCGGGTGGTCAGGCTCGCTGACTTGGTTGATGCATGTCATCGTATCCCAATTACGTGGATCGATGCTCATGATGTCAATCACTGGAGTGTCTGGTCCAGACTCGAATATTTACAGACCGCCGTCATATATCTGGAATATTGCTGAGTACGGCGTTAAACAACAAACAAACAAACAAAGCAGATTGCATGTTTTGTGCATGCACGTGTATGTATGTGTGTGGCTGCTTGTACTAGTCCGGACTGATGCCGATTTATAGCGCTAGCTCACTGAGATACCATGCCGCAGTTTAACATGAATGCCCCACTCAGACACAGTATACTGACTCCGAGCCGACCAGTCCTTGTTTTAGCCCCTTAATGCCGAGTGCCAGACAGGGTAACAACAAATACCATCTTGTAACGTCTTTTGGTATGACGCGGTCGGGGATCGAACCCCGGACCTTCCGCTCTCCGGGCGGACGCTCTACCATTAGACCACGGAGGCTGTCTATCATGTCCATGGAACAATAAAAGAGATGTAAATGATGTCTGTTTCAATGTTAATCATGAACACAGGCGCGCGGTATAAAACAATTGTGTGTTATTTAAAAGGTATTACGGGGCACGGGTGGTCCAATCGTCTAATGCGCTGCAAATCGATGTGCAGAGTTGCGTCCCTTGGGCACGCCAGAAACCTATGATCGTGAGTTCGAATCCTGATTCGGCCCGATTATGTTTCAAGGTTTGTCAGCACATACTCGTGCCTGTGGTTTTCACCAAATGGTAAACATCTGAGACCTGCATCACTTCGGGCTTTCCTCCCATTCTAAACTGACATTCCTTTATGTAACTGGAATACTGTTGAACACGGCGTTAAACCCAACTCACTCACTCACTCAAAAGGGGCGGTCGGGTAGCCTAGTGGTTAAAGCGTTCGCTCGTCACGCCGAAGACCCGGGTTCGATTCCCGACATGGGTACAATGTGTGAAGCCCATTTCTGGTGTCCCCCGCCGTGATATTGCTGGAATATTGCTAAAAGCGGCGTAAAACCATACTCACTCAAAAAATTATGGTTTCCAATACATGTGTTATTTCAAATAACACCATCATCGTGGAGATAAATGGGCGTTTCCTCAAGATAAGGACATTTATACAAGTCACTTCCCCCTCTGCCCACTGCCTTATTTCCAGCTACTCAGGGTTTTCCGACTAAATCTGCTGAGCTCACATATGCTCCGGGGAACACGTGTTTCTCCATAGTCGGCGGTGGATTATATCTAACGGGATGCTTATTATGAAATAATTATGATTAAGGAATAATCTAGCCTGGGTATGAACTGGAAAACATGTGATGCAACAACGTGTTTATAGGATGTGGTTAGCATCATCAAACAACGTTTGCAACATCACCACATCACGACATGTGACGCGTCGGTTGTATCTGGGAAGCTTAGTGTTTGGAGGTTTGTTATTAACAACGTGACCGACAAGATCAGTAAGTATGTGTTTAGAAGAAGAAATATTTTGTTATGCATGACTTTATCAGATACTGTGTGTATCTTTTTTGAATGAAATACCATTTTATTTGTATATTTGTTCAGTATATGTTTCTATATGCTTGCGAACCGTAAAGATCCGGGGTAGAATAGGTCTTCAGCAACCCATGCTAGCCGTAAAAGGCGACTATGCTTGTCGTAAGAGGCGACTAACGGGATCGGGTGGTCAGGCTCGCTGACTTGGTTGATGCATGTCATCGATCCCAATTGCGTGGATCGATGCTCATGTTATTAATCACTGGATTGTCTTGTCCAGGCTGGATTATATACAGACCGCCGTAAGAGCTGGAATATTGCTGAGTGCGGCGTTAAACAACAAACAAACAAACAAACTATATGCTCGACAAAGTAGCATGTACATATTGTAGGTTTAGATGTATGTTCAGGTATTATGGGCCGATGGCTTTACTGCAGTATGCAATCTGGCTGGCTGTTATGTATATATGTCTGTCTGTCTGTCTGTCTGTCTGTCTGTCTACCACACCATGTCCTAGTCCCTACCGTCTACCTCACCATGTCCTAGTCCCACCGTCTACCTCACCATATCCTAGTCCCTACCGTCTACCACACCATGTCCTAGTCCTTACCGTCTACCACACCATGTCCTAGTCCTTACCGTCTACCTCACCATGTCCTAGTCCCACCGTCTACCTCACCATGTCCTAGTCCCTACTGTCTACCTCACCATGTCCTAGTCCCTACCGTCTACCACACCATGTCCTAGTCCTTACCGTCTACCACACCATGTCCTAGTCCTTACCGTCTACCTCACCATGTCCTAGTCCCACCGTCTACCTCACCATGTCCTAGTCCCTACTGTCTACCTCACCATGTCCCAGTCCCTACCGTCTACCTCACCATGTCCTAGTCCCTACCGTCTACCTAACCATGTCCTAGTTCCTGCCGTCTACCACACCATGTCCTAGTCCCTACCGTCTACCTCACCATGTCCTAGTCCTTACCGTCTACCACGCCATGTCCTAGACCCTACCGTCTACCTCACCATGTCCTAGTCCCTACCGTCTACCACACCATGTCCTAGTCCTTACCGTCTACCACACCGTGTCCTAGTCCCTACCGTCTACCACACCATGTCCTAGTCCCTACCGTCTACCTCACCATGTCCTAGTCCTTACCGTCTACCACGCCATGTCCTAGTCCTTACCGTCTACCACACCATGTCCTAGTCCTTACCGTCTACCTCACCATGTCCTAGTCCCACCGTCTACCTCACCATGTCCTAGTCCCTACTGTCTACCTCACCATGTCCTAGTCCCTACCGTCTACCACACCATGTCCTAGTCCTTACCGTCTACCACACCATGTCCTAGTCCTTACCGTCTACCTCACCATGTCCTAGTCCCACCGTCTACCTCACCATGTCCTAGTCCCTACTGTCTACCTCACCATGTCCCAGTCCCTACCGTCTACCTCACCATGTCCTAGTCCCTACCGTCTACCTAACCATGTCCTAGTTCCTGCCGTCTACCACACCATGTCCTAGTCCCTACCGTCTACCTCACCATGTCCTAGTCCTTACCGTCTACCACGCCATGTCCTAGACCCTACCGTCTACCTCACCATGTCCTAGTCCCTACCGTCTACCACACCATGTCCTAGTCCTTACCGTCTACCACACCGTGTCCTAGTCCCTACCGTCTACCACACCATGTCCTAGTCCCTACCGTCTACCTCACCATGTCCTAGTCCTTACCGTCTACCACGCCATGTCCTAGTCCTTACCGTCTACCACACCATGTCCTAGTCCCTACCGTCTACCACACCATGTCCTAGTCCCTACCGTCTACCTCACCATGTCCTAGTCCCTACCGTCTACCTCACCATGTCCTAGTCCCTACCGTCTACCACGCCATGTCCTAGTCCCTACCGTCTACCACGCCATGTCCTAGTCCCATCCTCCACCTCACCATGTCCTAGTCCCATCCTCCGCCTCACCATGTCATAGCAATCCCTCCACCTCACCATGTCATAGCGACCCTCCACCTCACCATGTCAAAGCCCCATCCTCCACCTCACCATGTCCTAGTCCCTACCGTCTACCTCACCATGTCCTAGCCCCATCCTCTACCTCACCATGTCCTAGTCCCTACCGTCTGCCTCACCATGTCATAGCCATCCATCCACCTCACAATGTCATAGCCCCACCCGTCTACCTCACCATGTCCTACCCCCCAACAAGTTAAATGCCATCTCCTTTCTGCACTCCAATGCTTCACGTGTTTGTATACACTGCGTTCGCCCATCACCCGCCCGTGAGTACATGCACCCGCTGTGCAATGTGGTAGTGAAGTATATCTACTTAGTAGGCTAATGAACTGAGTCTGTTTATAATTATAAGTAATTATAAGTCAAATGAACCCTACTCCGTGCACGGACTGTATGCGAACCCTCCCATTGCCTGACATAGAGGCAAAGTGTAGAGCAGACAGGCACCGCGCCAAGTCACGTGTTCACTGCATACGTATGTAGTCACGGACTGGGTAGGAACGTAGCGTATCAGTAAGTTTGATTTTCACGACTCTTGCTCTCGAGGTCTCACCCTGACATAAATGGTTCAACAGTTGAGGGAAGTATAAAAATATCCCGACCTACGGACCTTTGATTCAATGAAGAGGTTCCACGCGCATGCGCTCCAACCAGACTTTTGGAATGGAATGGTCCAACACTATTTATGTAGGAGTGTTGAGTCGTTCGGAATGTTAATACCGGGAAATAATACATATACTATTCAAATAAAGTTAAGGACCACCTGATTTTCTCTTCATATTATTACAGTCATGGCCATGGCCTAACAGACTAACCACAGTAATATGAAAGAACCAGGTGATCCTTAACTTCTTTCGAGTAGTATACTATGATAAACCCGTGAAGCAGTGACGAAGCTTTCTCTCCCCGTGAATATCCGGGGTAGAATAGGTCTTCTGCAACCCATGCTTGCCGTTAAAGGCTACTATACTTGTCGTAACGAGATCGGGTGGTCAGGCTCGCTGACTTGGTTGATGCATGTCATCGTATCCCAATTGCGTGGATCGATGCTCATGATGTCAATCACTGAATTGTCTGTTCAAAACTCGATTAATTACAGACCGCCGTCATATAGTTAGAATATTGCTGAGCGCGGCGTTAAAAAACAAACAAACAAAAACAAAATTCTCTCACGGACCAGCTTATCGCCCTTCTCCCAACCTCCAAACTAACCCCACCCCCAGTAAATACTTTTCAAAGCACCGTCAAACGTACCTACACACTCAGTATAACCATGAGTGGTTACTGGGGTAAGATATTTATCTGTGATTGATTCTGTTGATAGGACTCTCTACCTTCCATCTCGAAAAGTGACTTGGAGGGAATGCCAAGGTACAGATCTGCCTCGCTGTCCGATCTCCTAGATGGGACGCAGGACATCCCTGACGCAACGAAGCCTAAAGAACCAAGTATGATAATGTCTTGTTTTGTCAGTAATGTCATGGAGTTCGTGGTTCTACGCTGTATGAATACAGGAAACGCAACTCCTCTCCTCGATGTCGTAGGAGTCGCCACTCGGGTCCTCTCGGCTTATCCCGCTACATTCGTGACCAACTCGTGTTATTCCGGGACAAGCCGAACAGCGACTCGTACCCCTCTCGTGGCCATTTTGCGACCAGGTTCCGTCTTAGCGCAAACGGGCATACCTAAAAACATTGTCAACTCGTTGCGCAATGGTAGACATATATTTCATCATATATTATATAATTTCTGATAAAAATTAAAGCCCGTCGGGACGTGCGGAATTATACAGTATGATTGAAGACATTTAACTGTGTCTTGGGTATATTTTAGATGCAAGACATATGTTAAATAAAAAAATATTTCTGAGGGATTCTTTGACGAAGAACTTAAAATCATACGCGCATTCTGATTGGTTTGTCGTATTTTCGCACATAACATTCATTGATAGTGGGACGAGTCTTCTTGCAGTTTACGGAAAGGGGCGAGTGGTGACGAATGCGTACATATTGCGGGCTTTAAGAGCGTAGTGATACGCCGATTTCACCGTAAACTTGGAACGCTAGATCCCTCCGCATATAGTTCGTATATCTGAAGATAAATTATTCTGTGCCTAACAGGAATTGTGCCATTCATCCAAATTCATATTTTTTTTGTAGACAGTTTTTGGAACACTGGTTTGAGTTAGTGAGTATGGTTTTACGCCGCTTTTAGCAATATTTCACGATGGGGGAACCAGAAATGGGCTTCACACATTATTCCCATGTCGGGAATCGAACCCGGGTCTTCAGCGTGACGAGCGAACGCTTGAACCACTAGGCTACCCGACCGCCCCGGTACACTGGGTGATGTGCACGGATGTCCTGCATGGCGCCGAAATTCGCTGTGCATACTTGCATGCCATTGATCTATGGCCATGGGCTCGAATCCCGGTTCGCCCCGATTCTGTTTCCAGGTTTGTTCGCACCATTTCCATGCACGTTGGTTTCACCCAGCTGGCACGCCATGGTATAACTCAATAATGTTCAAAACAGCGTTAACCCCAACTCACTCACTCGCTCACTCGCTCCTAAAAATATGTTTTCTATAAAGACAATTAAGAATTTAAGCTGGAGTGAATATGAAATTCAAACTGCGAATTGTTTTTCTTATAGTGAGTGAGTGAGTGTGGTTTTATGCCGCTTTTAGCAATGTTCCAGCAATATCACGGCGGGGGACACCAGAAATGGGCTTCACACATTGTACCCATGTCGGGAATCGAACCCGGGAATACGGCGTGACGAGCGAACGCTTTAACCACTAGGCTACCCGACCGCCCCATTTTGTCTTATAAGAGTGACGGGGAACAAGATTCTTTTTCTTAACCCTACTTGAAGGTAAAACACTCTCTGACAGTTTCAGTGGGTAGCACCTTGATCAGAGAGCCCCTAGTCGATCAATATAGGTTATGTTGCTCCGATGCATCAGGGCGTCTGGGTCATACATAGTACATGGTAGTTCACTTACATTACGATCAACGCCGTCGAGATATGATGACACATCAAATAAGTCTGGGGCCGGTCGGGTAGCCTAGTGGTTAAAGCGTTCGCTCGTCACGCCGAAGACCCGGGTTCGATTCCCGACATGTGTACAATGTGTGAAGCCCATGTCTGGTGTCCCCCGCCGTGATATTGCTGGAATATTGCTAAAAGCGGCGTAAAACCATACTCACTCACTCAAATATATCTGTAACCACGTCAGTTGTCCCCGACAGCCAGCAACTTACGCCTCACTCACTCACTCCGGAAACCGGAAGTGCATTAAACTTACAGAATTTTCTGTTCATTTTGCATGTATTTTCCCAAACCGGAAGTGATATCATTAGACCGCAAGTGTTCATAGCTTTGTTACTGAAGTTGCTATTAGGAATAAGACATATTTCCAAAAGCGGAAGTGATGTCATTTAACCGGAAGTGTTTCTAACTTTGTTGAATGAGTGTGAGTGAGTTAATATTAAACGTCACATCGGCAATATTTCAGCCATATCGTGACGAGAAGTAGTACATTAATAACACATATATGTAGACTTTATAAAAAACCTGTCATCAAAGGAAAGTACAATAACTAGAATATCACAGAGTCTATTTAAAACTAGTTAAGGAACATATAAAAGCAGAAAGAATTAACAACACACTATAAAAATGGGCTAGAGATCGTCAGTAACTAAAGGGAGATCACCATACCAGGGACCATGGGGACTTACAGTACCTTTGCTTCCTGCATGGACCCCGGCAGGATTTATATCATCCCTTCAGTCACTGGCGATAGTTTACCAGTTAAGCCAAATATTAAAATGACGAAAATTCTACGTTTTTTATTCTGGCATGCATATAAATACTTCGAATGATGTGGGACTTACATACCCTCTTAGGGGGACAATAATTGTACGCTACTTCAACCCCCCTTGAAGGTACAGCCACTAACAATCTAAGTTATAAAGTAGTTATTAGCATAAAACATTCTGTTTCAAAATTATGCTGAATGGGGCACATGTTTTCCCGAACCAGAAATGATTTTGTTAAACCAGAAGTTCTTATATATTTGCTATTAAGGTACTAGAAGTACAGATTTGGGGATATTCAGAAAAAAACCTTGTGTTTTGTGTGTAATGTATACTCCTTTCTATAGTTAGCGCCGCCTACATGACATTGTCTATGTACGTTTAACCATTAATTATTTATAGCTTCAGAAATATCACGTGACCACTGGGATAAACGTCGGTTGAGACAGAAGTGTAATGGCTGCTATAAACAGATTCATCTGGTTTTCCGACAGAAGCATTGTCGAATGTACGTACTCCGCTTGTCTCGAACTAAAGACATGTTTGATGTTTGTTAATTTGTTGTTTAAAGCCGTACTCAGCAATATACCAGAGATATGACGGCGGTCTGTAAATAATCACGTCTGGACCAGACAATCCAGTGATTAATATCATGAGCATCGATCTACGCATTTGTGATACGATGACGTGCATCAACCAAGTCAGCGAGCCTGACCACCCGATCCCGTTAGTCGCCTCTTACGACAAGCATAGTCGCCTTTTACGGCAAGCATGGGTTGCTGAAGACCTATTCTACCCCAGATCTTTACGGGTCGACATGTTTAATGACCCAAGAACATATATTCAACGAGTGTCACTATCTCTTTAAAAAGTCGTTGACACATTGCAAGGTATACCAATAAAACAGACAGTTGTTACCCTGTATCGTGTGCACTTCAGATAGATCATTTTCGAGATAAGGGTTTCACTTCCCCTCATACAGGCAAATGACAAAATAGTAGGTTCAGAATTAAAACGTATCAATGGGTGTACCCTCATTTCATAATGTCTTATTACGATAATAGGACTTTGTTACGATAATTGTCAAGGTTAAGACACGATGACAACTTCATATAAAGGTCAAGGTCAAGGTCAAGGTCGCCTGTTTCACGTTTTCCGACATCATACTTATCATTGCATTGGTTTTAAGTTATGATAATCACTGTTATAGTATGCAGATAAGGATTGTTTTTTTAAAGCTGACATTACATATTGTTGTCATTGTACTAGGTGTGGTAAGGTCTTTTGCCAGCAGTGCAGTCGTTTCCAGCGACGTTTGGCCGACGATGCCTCTCCGAATCCTGACGGCAAACTATATCGGGTAAGTGAATGAGTGAGTGAGTTGGGTTTAACGCTGCTTTTAACAGTATTCCAGTCATATCACGGCGTGTCAGCTAAATGTGGGAGGAAAGCCCGAAGTGATGCAGGTCTCAGACGTTCAATCGACGACGAACAATCGATGACGTCATACGTCTTCAGTTTACCAATCAGCATTGAGAATCGCTAATCACGTGTTCACGGGACAATTATGACATCTCCATCAGAACTGCCTGTAGTCATGCCTAAATCTAAACCAATTGTTGAGGGACGATTTTTGCAAATCCTGAATCCACCTCTGTGTCCGAAAGATTACAATATGTAACTGTGACCTGTAAATGAAGTTTAACATCACTCTGTCATTTATAGCCCGATCTTCTTGTCCAGATTCTATTATACTATTTACTTCAAGAAACCGTCACTTTGCTTTAGATATCCAGGTGTGTCAGCTTTGCTTCAATTATACTATTTACTTCAAGAAACCGTCACTTTGCTTTAGATATCCAGGTATGTCAGCTCTGCTTCAATTATACTATTACTTCAAGAAACCGGCACTTTGCTTTCGATATCCAGGTGTGTCAACTTTGCTTCAATTATACTATTTACTTGAAGAAACCGGCACTTTGCTTTCGATATCAAGGTGTGTCGACTCTGCTTCAATTATACTATTTACTTGAAGAAACCGGCACTTTGCTTTCGATATCCAGGTGTGTCAGCTCTGCTTCAAAGATGGCGAGGACCTGGCCGTGGGGTGTGTGAAGTCATGGACACAGGATTTCTTCAACATGAGGTCGGCGGCGCACGCGCGAAAATTCCCCTCTGGGAAGGAACCGGAATTAAAACTCTTGTAAGTGTGTTTACATCGTACAGTTATAAACCAATGGACGTATTGCAACAACAAACAAACAACAAACAACAGCCATACAGGATTGTCAACAGACATTGGATAAAGTTGTCGGTCGCGACACCGAGGGCTCGATTCCCAAAATCTGGCTATGATATGAAAAGTTTGGCACTGGCAATAAACTGTACTCACTCACTCGAAAACATCCAAAAATAAAAGGGGTGGCGTTACTGGGTTGAAGCAGTTAAATAATAATAGTGGTCTGCTTATCCACATTGATTGGTTTGTTGGTTGGTTTGTTGTTTAACGCCGCACTCAGCATTATTCCAGCTATATGACGGCGGTCTGTAAATAATCGAGTCTGGACCAGACAATCCAGTGATTAATATCATGAGCATAGATCCACGCAACTGGGATCGATGACATGCATCAACCTGACCACCCGATCCCGTTAGTCACTTCATACGAAAAGCATAGTCGCCTTTTACGGCAAGCATGGGTTGCTGAAGACCTATTCTACCCCGGAATATTCACGGGTCTTATCCACATTGCTTCATACGCACTCTATATTGGAAGCGCTTCATTATTAACCCGGTTCGATCAGTGTGCCCCCGTTTTTTCATTCTCAAAATTCCTGTGAGGCGCTAGAAAGTTAACATTCACATTACTACGTAATTCTACCGGGTACCCATTCACTACTTGGTCCTGTTTTGAAACAAGCATTAGGGCAGTCGGGTAGCCTAGTGGTTAAAGCGATCGCTCGTCACGCCGAAGGCCCGGGTTCGATTCCCGACATGGGTACAATGTGTGAAGCCCATTTCTGCTGTCTGGTTTCCCCGCCGTGATATTGCTGGAATATTGAAAAAAAAGGCGGCGTAAAACCTCGCTCGCTCGCTCGCTCACTCACTCACTCACTCACGCACTCACGCACGCACGCACTCACTCACTCACTCACTCACTCACTCTCACCCACCCACCCACTCACTGAAACAAGCATTACCCTAAACGCTCGTAAAACGTTAAGCATCATGAACCATATACAGCCTAAGAAAAAAAATCGAAAAAGGTTTAATTTTTGTACATATCACATTTAAAAGAGAAGCCTAATTTTTCCAATTTATCGTTTAATATCTAAGGTTTCCAATTAATCAAACGTGTCGTGTCGAGTAGAGGTTATTCACTTGAATACTAAAACAAATTTATACTGTATGTCTCAATCAATCTGAAATAAGTATTAATTGGAATATTTGCTTGGTGTGATCAATCACAAAACACACAATCTAACTATGGTACCCTTTTCGTTTTACAGTATCTGAAATATTGACACAATGACGGTTTTTTCCAGATGTGAGATACCAAAGGTTTGTCAGCCAATTTCCGACATGTTCCTCGTGGACATCTCCAAGAGCAAACAGATGAAGGCCAAGCTGCAGAATGCGGTGAAGGTATGGCTACATAATTATTGAAATATAAAATAAACTGAGACGCAAAAGAACTTTACTATCATGTTTGATTTTCATTTTTTTAAATATATCCAAACAATGATGGCGCTGAGTCAGCACTCGTAGAATACTTCTGCATGGTTCTAATTTTTACAATATAATTTGATTATAAACTTTTTTTAAATTATTGAATGTTAACACAATACCCAACTGTGGATGGGTATCTTAGACACATCATCTTTGAAAATCAATACAATTGTGGCGAAATTTCAAACAAAGTAGGGTTCATGTGGCTGCAATATCTTTCTTACCCCATCACTGAAACGATTACTTTTAACAAACTGTTGCAGGATGAGTCATGGTTAAACAGACAAATTCAAATTTAACACCAATTATTTCAATTACATAATACACAAAGTCGGTATATTTTCTTTTGCCACCCAGTTCATAACAATAATTTGGTTTCACCCTAAAAAAATGACCCTATAAATCGGATCGACATACATACCCTCTGCTTCTAACATCACTGAACCCGTGAAGATCCGAGATAGAATAGGTCTTCAGCAACCCATGCTTGCCGTAAAAGGTGACCATGCTTGTAAGAGGCGACTAACGGGATCGGGTGGGCAGGCTCGTTAACTTGGTTGATGCATGTCATCGTATCCCAATTGCGTGGATCGATGCTCATGATGTCAATCACGGGGTTGTCTGGTCCAGACTCGATTATTTACAGACCGCCGTCATATATCTAGTATATTGCTGAGTGCGGCGTTAACTTACAAACAAACACCTCCTAGTCGCCGGATGTTCCGTATGGTGGTTGTTGACAGTATGGCATGAATAGCGATACATGCCGGCGAGTAATGATGACACAGTGTGACAACCTGTTACATCGGATACACAGCCAGTAAGGGTCTCTCTGCCAACAGTATGACACACAGTTAGCTGTGGGGTGGTAAGGGACCCGCCCAAAAGTTCGTTGACGGCTAACAATCTTTATTCCTTAAGTTGTCAGGTACTTGCAGGGCCATTAAACCCATATTCCCACCCCCACTCTAAACTTAAGGAATTAACATTTGTGTCCGACATCGAACTTCTGAACATGTCCCTTGTCACTGTTCGATTGATGCAGATACCAGGCAATCAAAAACCCTGCACCTTAATACCGTTTATAGTGCTGCTGCACGTGCAGTTCGTGCAGCTCCATGTCCCTTTTGTTAATGCACTGGGTGCGTCTTTCCGAATCATACGTGTTTCCCGACTAATGGTTTGCATGTCCTTGTTGTGATCATTTTGATCCCGGAAATTTGTCACTATAACTATAACACTATAAAACATTAAACCTCTTTGTTTTGCACCTTTTGGTCCGCTAATTTGCGTTTATGGCCAAAAATATCCGTCTTGCGTTTCTTTTCTTTTTGAAGAGTACAAGCATAATCAGAGACTAAGCGTTTGACTGAGTATCGGCGTACAGTTGCTGTTTGATAGCACAGATATCAAGCCGCAACTTTCTGTTGAGTCTGACATAATCCCCGAAACTAGTTATGTATAAGGTTAAATATAAATAATTCTTTTGCGGAATCCTCGCGTATTAAGCAACCCTCAAGTATCTTACTTTCGGGGACTAAACAAATCTTCATGCTCTTATATAGAGGAATGACCCAACATGTGGCTGAGACTGGATTTTTTTGTTAAATAAAAAAAAATAACAACACCTTGCAACAATGCATTTTTTTGTGGCAGACAATTGTATTTTTTTCAACAGTCTGAGGATACTTAAGTTTTTCAAGCCTTTTCTGTGACAGCTTATTTTTGTTCGATACAATACCAGGCCAGGCCGGGGGATGCAAGGAAGACTACAGTCTGCCATACTGCTGGTAGAGAGGGGGCGTATCTGTTGCGTATCGATTCTACCATGACATTGATAAATGCTTGATTCCGATTGGTTAAAAAGAGGTTTCCTTTTTGCTACGGAAACCCCTTTCAAATATATGAAGCCTTTTCACCAAAAAACGTGCGTAGGAATACATAGACATCGATTCATAGAAAATGACTGCCGATCGATCACCCCCATATGAACTGTAAAACGTATCTATATTTCCTCTGATACACGCTGGGTCTCTAATACCAGCCAGGTCTCTAATACACACCGAGTCAAGGGCTCTCGCGAAATTAACAGACGGCATAGCGTCAAATAGAGGAAATACAGTAGTTTGATATCGGATGTTTTGGGCGTTGGCTAGGCCGCAACCCTGACTGCTTCGATGATGACATTAAAAGATTTAACGAAGGCAAATCTTTTGCATACAAATGAAATGTTTATGAAACTGTTAGGGAAATGCTCTATGGTGACCAGAATCGGAACAATTTAAGCTATTTTATCATTGAAACAACCGACAATGAAAGTAAAATATAACATTATAAAAATTGTTTGAAAACACTTTAGTCATGACAACATGTTGTTTACATACCTTTTTGTGATCGATAGTCGTTGCCATCTCCGTCATTTGGCAGAAGAGTATTTGAAAGTCCATCATTCAGAAAACACACAAAATCTACGAAAACAATGTCCCGACATCTTTGAAGTCATTTGAAATTCATTTCAGAACACGCACAATTAAGAAAATGTGTTGTTGCCGTCATGGTAGAATGGAGATAAACCTTCTGTGTTTTGAAATTTGATGTAGTTCCACTGTAGAGTAGATACCTCTTTATTATTAAAATAATGAGGTATCTACTCTACAGTTGGTAACATCAAATTTCAAAACACAGAAGGTTTATCTCCTCCATTCCCAAGCAGTGGTTCTGGTCGTAAGACAACTATGGAAGTGTTGGCAGATTGGTTCGTCTCTTTGCAGGAGTGTATTGCAGGAGTCTTGCTTTACGGCTTTAGGCAACAAACACTTACTTTTTGTACAGCAGGACACGTTTACCCTTGTCGATATTCTCAGTAATCCATTCATATAACATATTCCCGAGGCAAGTGAGTTAACTGACCATAAAAGTCCAGTTTCCACTATGGCCGAACAAGGCTGGTATTATGGAGTTACATTTGTGCTGGACTAACGAGTCTATGCATAGTCCAATTAAAATCGCGCAACGAAATCGAAATCCGGTTCGTCAACTGTCGTGCAGATTTCGGTCGATTGCAGGATTTGCAAAGCATGTGCACTGCCAACTCGTTGTCAGCAGATATTTTCCAAATATTTTCATGTTTTTAATCAAGGTGCCCGCGTGATTTGTTGGAACTTTGCGGTGTAAAACCCGTTTTATCACAATATAGATCATGATTATCGATCAGATCGTCTTGAATTGGCGCCGCCATTTTGTGTGAAACAAATGCAAGTGAAACGAGAGGTGGCATCTGATTGGTCCATTGCAGAGGCATGGAAGGGACATAACTCGTAACAGCGCTATGATCGAGCCCAGTAAGTCCAATTTGGTTCGGCAAGGGTGGAAACTGGACTTTTATAGTCAATTAACTCTCTTGCCTCGGGAAGATGTTCATGTAATGATCACCTCTAATTTGCCTCTGACGCTCAATGGAATTCATTTCGGCAGATAATCGACGTTGTATATGTTGAATGCCAGCGTACAATTTCACTTCAGATTGCCAAGAGACAGACGTTCTGCAGCCTCTGTGACAAGGATCTGTTCGTGCCCAGTGACAGGAAGCAGTGTGTTGTGTGTGGGGAGATCTTCTGTAAGGCGTGTTCCAGTAAGGACCTCGTGGTCTTCTACCCCCGGGGTGCTGTGCATCAGAGTGACGAGGGACGGGCTCGACCAGACATTGACGTCATTCAAACTGGAACCGTAGGTCTTCGTCATCATCTATACCTAGACAAGCATGTCCAAATTCACCGTGTTCACACTGACCTCGTCAAGCATGTCCACATTCATCTCGTCAAGCATGTCCACATTCATCTCGTCAAGCATGTCCAAATTCACCGTATTCACACTGACCTCGTCAAGCATGTCCACATTCACCTCGTCAAGCATGTCCAAATTCACCGTGTTCACACTGACCTCGTCAAGCATGTCCACATTCACCGTGTTCAAAATGACCTCGTCAGGCATGTCCACATTCACCTAGTCAAGCATGTCCATATTCACCGTGTTCACACTGACCTCGTCAAGCATGTCCACATTCACCTAGTCAAGCATGTCCACATTCATCTCGTCAAGCATGTCCACATTCATCTCGTCAAGCATGTCCACATTCATCTCGTCAAGCATATCCACATTCACCTAGTCAAGCATGTCCAAATTCACCGTGTTCACACTGACCTCGTCAAGTATGTCCACATTCATCTCGTCAAGCATGTCCACATTCATCTCGTCAAGCATATCCACATTCACCTATTCAAGCATGTCCAAATTCACCATGTTCACACTGACCTCGTCAAGCATGTCCACATTCATCTCGTCAAGCATGTCCACATTCATCTCGTCAAGCATGTCCACATTCATCTTGTTCACATTCACCACGTCAAACATGTTTACATTCACCTAGTCAAGCATGTCCACATTCATCTCGTCAAGCATATCCACATTCACCTAGTCAAGCATGTCCAAATTCACCGTGTTCACACTGACCTCATCAAGTATGTCCACATTTATCTCGTCAAGCATTTCCACATTCACCTAGTCATGCATGTTTACACGCATTTCTTTAACCTACTCTAAACCCTGGACCCATTCCTGTAGTTCTCGCGAACCGAAACTACCGGCCTTTGATTTCCTTTGGCCGATTTGATTTGCTACGCTGCTCAGTCTAACGGACCAATCAGAATGCGAGTTACAAACCGTCCTCATTGTTGGGTTGGCGATGTCAACTTGGCAGTCAGTTCGATTGATTACGAATCTTCAAGAAATTCAACATTGAAAAACTGACTGACACGCAATAGAAAGCCCTAAACCATCTTAATGATGGAAATAATGTCTACATGTCCATTAAAACTGGCTGTGGCTAACCCTCCTAATACCATTAGTTCCTTATCGCGACGTTTGATTGGTCAGTAAAATGTTAATGGGCATCAAGGGCGGGTAATTTATGATCGGGAGAACCATAGAAATGGATCCAGGGGTAAATGTAGGTTTACCGAAATGTGAACCCCGGAGATATAGAGGATGAACTTCCGCCTCCCATTGCATATGTTGGGACTCTTAGGTCATCAGGGCCCACTTGCACAAAGCGGTCTTAGCGCTAAGATGATCTTAACTCCCATACTTTAACATAGGCTTACGATAGTCTTAGCGCTAAGATCGTTTTGTGCAAGTGGGCCCAGGACTGAAGGTCAAATTGAACGCATTGCATGGCGCGTTGTCCGTCCGACCGTTACGTTCTTCATTGAAACAGCTGAGCGGATGACCTTGGCGCATGTCTTGTCATACTCTGAATTAAATAGATAAGTCATCATCTGGTCCCTTTGTATCCGGAGCATAACTTGAAAACCGTGAAAGATTTTTCTACCAAACTTTGTACATGCATGACATGTTTAAAAATAAAATTACAAAAAATAAAATTTTGAAAAAAATCGAAATCTTCTATGAATCAACAAGGTGTAGCAATATTCTAAAACAGCAAGCCATGCTTGCCGTAAAAGGCGACTATGCTTGTCGTAAAAGGCGACTAACGGGATCGGGTGGTCAGGCTCGCTGACTTGATTGATGCATGTCATCGAACCCAATTGCGTGGATCGATGCTCATGATATTAATCACTGGATTGTCTGGTCCAGACTCGATTATTTACAGACAGCCGTCATATAGCTGGAAAATTGCTGAGTGCGGCGTTAAACAACAAACCAACCAACCAACAATATTCTAAAAATTAATAGGATGTGCAGCAAACAAAAGGGACTCACATTTTGTTCAACCTAGTCAAAATATAAAAACGCATTATTGTGAAAATCGTCGTGGATCTTCTTCTCAGAAACGCATGGCCAATATATAATTTACGTTTGGGACCATGTATAATAAGAACAAAATATTACCATGCGAATATTATGTCCTCTGACATCAATCATACTGTTAATACCTGGTGGCTAAAGATGTCACTACACTTATTATTCGACACCCTTTGAAATGGCCTGGTGAGCAACAGTGCCTATTGTCTTTAACGTGGATGAGACATGGGATCGGTGGTCGAAATATGAATACAATCAAGTTATATTTTTTAGATGTCAAAACATTTAATTTTTCCGCGCTGTACATCACTATCCGATACGGCACACGTAGAACCTCCGTGGGACATATGTGATTAAACGTGACGACTAAGACACACTTACATATCTATCTTCAGTGAGTGAGTGAGTGAGTGAGTTGGGTTTAACGCCGCTTTTAACAGTATTCCAGTTATATCGCGGCGTGTCAGCTTAATGTGGGAGGAAAGCCCGAAGTGATGCAGGTCTCAGACGTTTACCACTTCGGTGAAACCCAAGAGCACGGGTATGGTGCTGACAAACCTAGAAACATAATCGGGGCAAACTGGGATTCGAACCCAGTCATAGGTTTCTGGCGTGCCCAAGGGACGCAACTCTGCACAGCGAATCGCGGCGCCTTAGACGACTGGGCCACCCGTGCCCCCTCCATCTTCAGAGGTTCAGGACATTTTGTCAAATATGAAAGCAAATGACATCTGAAGTGTACCGAGAAAATGTAAAATGCTGGACTTCCTCCCAGATAAGCGACCGCCTCCGTGGTCTAGTGGTAGAGCGTCCGCCCGGAGAGCGGAAGGTCCGGGTTCGATCCCCGACCGCGTCATACCAAAAGACGGTAAAAGATGGCACTTGTTGTTACCCTGTCTGGCGCTCGGCATTAAGGGGCTAAAACAAGGACTGGTCGGCTCGGAGTCAGTATTCTGTGTCTGAGTGGGATATTCATGTTAAACTGCGGCATGGTATCTCAGTGAGCTAGCACTATAAATCGGCATTAGTCCGGACTAGTACAAGCAGCCACACAAACACGTGCATGTATGTCGCTATTTAAGTGCAATAATCTTAGACGCGACGTTAAACCCCATTTCACCTCACCTCACCTCCTCCCAGATAACACCTGTGGTAGTCAATAGTTAAACCCCTTCCACTGATTTACCCATCTGAACTAGAACTATAAGAGACCGGTGGACCCACCTCATCTGCTTCATATTTAGAACTAAGACTCTTGCTTATGAGTTGTTTGATTAGGGTTACAGTATCCAAGGCCTTTGTACTTCGTTTTTATAATTCAGTTGAATGTGGCCTCCATTAAAATTTTCATCCTTTAATAAAATCGAATGGTTTCATCTCTTACAGGACATATCCAAGATGGCGGAAGTGTGGCGGAACTACCGCGTGTGTCGCCAGTGCGAGGATCACGTCGGGCGCGAGATGCGCGTGTTCCACTTTAACATCGAGCTGCAGAACAAACACCATGAGATGATTGACATCAAGAAGCAGATTGTGGCCATCCTTGATCGAGTAAGTTCTTGTGATGCAGGTCTCAGACGTTTACCACTTCGGTGAAACCCACGAGCACGGGTATGGTGCTGACAAACCTAGAAACATAATTAAGCATGACACATTAAGCTGACACGCCGCGATATAACTGGAATACTGTTAAAAGCAGCGTGAAACCCAACTCACTCACTCACTCACTCACTCACCCACCCACTCACCAACCCACTAACTCACTCACCCACTCACCCACCCACTCACTCACATACTCACTCACTCACTCACTCACTCACCCACCCACTCACTCACTCACTCACTCACTCACTCACTCACTCACCCACTCACCCACCCACCCACCAACCCACTAA